CCCCCACACACACACACTCCAACCTGGAGACAGGGCCAGGCCAGCTGGGCCCACCCCTCTGCCCAGGAGGAGCATGGGGTATATAAGGAAGCTAGGGGGCTGGCCCAAGGGCCCACCAGAGCTGCCAGACTGAGGGCACCCCAAACAGTGCCCTCCAATGAGACTAGGGGCCTCTGTCCTCCACCCCAGGGCCCTTCAAGGCCCCTCAAGGGCGCTTGAGGAATGAATAGTCCCTGGGGAGAAGGACTCCGGGAATGGGTGGGGGCTGCTTCTGGACCAACCCTCGCATCTCACCCTGGTCTGGGCTTTGGGGATCTGGGTGGCCTGGTGTCAAAGGCCTGTGGCTTGGGCATGGCCTTACCCAAGCTGACTAGCCAGCAGGAGTGCACTGAAGTTTCTGTCTCCAGGTCCGGAACAGAGAAAGTGAGGCAGAAGCAGAACTTCTTCACTCCCCTGTGGGTCTCTGGGCTTGATACCTGGGTCCAGTTCCCGCTCTGGCCACCTCCAGGGCATCCTATGTCTCTCAGGCCACCCCAGTACCCCCTGAGGCAGGCTAATGGAAGGTACTGAATGCCCCCAGAAGCAGGCTTAGGGACCAGGACACGGGGTGGGGGTGGAAGGGGCGTGCTCAAGTTGATGAGAAGGGGCACAAAGGGGGCCAAAGGCTTCAGGCTAGATGTCCCAATGTTGGCGTGAGGGTGAGCAGAGGGAGGAGACTGCGTGTCCGCACGTACCTATGCCTGTCCCACCTACACCCCATCTCATCCCTCGCCATCCCTGGAGGGGGCAAGGGCTATTCAAGATGCAGAGGGGTGGGGATCGTATAGCTGTGGGGGCAGCTCTCCAGCCACTGTGAGGGCAGGGGGAGGGCAAAAGGAAAACAGGAGCCCAGGGCTGGGGAGAAGGAAATACTATGAGGTGTGTGTCGGGGGTGGGGGGATCCCCACCCTGGGGAGGGTCCTGGCAGGGTCAAGGTGAGGAAATGAGGTCATTCCTGGGGAACACAGTCACAAGGAGGCACAGCGCCAGGTACAGGCACGGAGGAGGTAGCCCAGCGGAGCCCCACAGGGACCAGGGATGCAGTTCCAGACTGGGAGAGTCTTCGAGAACCCAGAGGGCTAGTGGTCTGGCCGGGGCTAACTGGGTTAGTGATCTGGCCGGGGCTAAAAGCCTCAAGAAAGTTCCTACCCAGGATGGCCAGGCTGGGGATGCAGCCTGGGAAGGCATGCTGGGGAGGAGGGGTCCCAGTCTCCAGTAAGGGGGATGCTTCACCCCGAAGAGGCTCCTAGCCTGGGGTTAGCCCAGCAAGGAGACCCAAAACTTAGGAGGAGGTGGGCTGCGGGCAAACAAGGGGTTCAGCTTCCTGGGGAAGGGGTCCGGCAGGAGTCAGAATCCAGGCAGGACTGCAGATCCTGGAAGGTGTGATGGAGGTCCCACCCTGGAGAGGGGACCCGCCCCCCCACCCCGTCGTAGGCTGTGTTGGGGGGCGGGAGGTCCCCTCAGGAGAGGTACTTGGCAGTAGGCTCAAGGTCTCCAGGCCGGTGGCCGGCTGGAGCTGGATCCCAAGCCCAGAGAGAGCGCGTTCAGGGGCCCCTGCGAGGTGGA